TGTGCTTCTTAAAAGAAAGAAAAGAAAAGAAAAAGAAACCGATTCTAAGCCGGAACGTTTTCAGAGTTTCTTTTCTTTTCTTTTTTTGCGGGATGAAAAGAGTTCGCGAAATCGATACGGAGTGATTAGCAGCTCCTGGGGTGGGAAGGCGAGAGGAAAGGCGGGGGCGAGGCGGGAGGGAAAGTTCTGGATTTCTGACTAAGGGACTCGCGTCGTTTTATGGGCTGGCACCACTAATCGGGCTGAGATTTTCGTGGGAAGGGGCCCCACTTCTCTCTCCCCCTGGCAGAGAGTAGTAATAAAACCCCACAGGGGCGAAGGCATTCGCGCCCCCCCCCCCCAATCCTCTGAGATTACCAGCGCCTTTTTCTTTCTCCATTCGGAGGAGGTTGAGAGAACCACAGCAGACTGCGCGGAATCCAAGGTGGGAAACTGCCTTGCGTAGTTCAAACGTCTCTTTAATTCCTGCTTCCGCCCTTGTAGTTATTAATCGTGCCCCTCGGGCTTCACACGGGTGCTGGAAGTGCGTGGGAGAGGGAGAGAGAGAAACGCAGAGGTGAGCGATTCCTGGGCCGTCTGGGCCATCCTCTGCTCCATTTGCGCGAACTCGAGAGGGAGGCCTCTTTGGAGCCACTGTCTCAAGCCGCCTCCGCTGATCCGAAGTTGTGGAAGATCTTGAGGGAAGAAGCGTTGGTCCCCCGCCGTCTTCCGTCCCACGCTCCATCGATACAGGGAGCAAAGCAGCGAGAGTTGGGGACGGAGGAGAGTCAACGGTTGAAAACCTTACTGGAAGGAATTCTGCCGATACCTCCCCCCCTCTTTCTCCTTGTGTTCACTGGTGCGATTCGGGATGAGTTCTTCTTTTCCCAACTCACTCGACTAGGGTTTTTTTTGCCCCTTTCCCAAAAGGAAGAGTGAAATCAGTAAAGTGAAACAAAATGATCCTGTCCGAACGTTTGGGGGTTCCCCTCCCCCGAGAAGCTCCTGAAAAAAAAAAAAAAGAAAGAGAGAAAGAAAGAAACAAAAAGAAAGAAAAAAAAGAAAAAGATCCAAGAAAAGTAAACGAGAGACGCGTTAAAAACACACACAAACCCATCCACTTAGTAAACTGCTCAATTATCTAAGAGGTCTCGTCTTCACTTGTGTTCTCATTTCGGTTTAGGAAATGAAGTGGGAAGTGGGGTGGGGGTGGTGGAAAGAAGGGTCTTCTCCCTGCAGCTTGAAATGCACAAAATAGTGGAGGGTGTTTTTTTTTTCCAGCTTAAAGATAAAACAAGGGCTCCCTTGACAATACAGCTTTGTCCTCTCCATTATTCACCCATGGTAGAAGGAGACACAAAACAAAAGGCACAACGCAAATTCGCTGAGAAGTTTTTAAGAGCTGAGTCTCTCCACTTCCCTCTTTCTTAGGAAAAACAAACAAACAAACTTTTGGAGTTTGGAACTAGAGGGATGTTAGGTACCAGATTCCTTAAAAAAAAGAGAGAGAGAAAAAAAGGAAGTTTCCCATCAGGCTAAAATAAACCAACCCCTACAGGGATTCCACAGTTCATCTAAGATATCTCCTACTTCCTGGTAACTAATTCAAGCAGCTTACTTCTAATTTAAGCAACTTACTTAACTTGAGAGGGCACCTTTCTTCCTAGGAATATTGCAGTATGGTCTGTTTTTTAAGGGGACAAGGAAGAAGAGGCATATTGTTAATATCTCCTGTTATCTAATAACATTTTTGCTTAATTCTTTGGACTGTGGATAGGGAAGATCTGATGCAAAAGGACAGAATGTTATGAACCCCTGAGCAGAACTACATTGAACAGATAGTTGAAGGATGGAGGTGTGAATGCATGGAGAGGAGTGGGTGTGTGTATGTGTGTGGTTTAAATAAAAGCTGGGTAGGGATTATTCTGTGTGGTTGCAGTTTCCCCATTTTTCAGTGTGTGTATGGATGTGCAGATACCTTATGCCATGGTAGGAGTATGTAAACATTTACCTGCTTTGAATAATATTTGTAGAGTAGTTTAACTATTCTAATTCCAGAATTAATTGCTGGATTGCCATTTCATTAAATGAGCAGGAGACATATTTTAATCCAGCAAGTTCTATGCTACCAAAAATCAATTTAAAACATGGCCCCTAAAAAAAAACAACGGAAGAAAAAAACCCTCATTTGCATATTTTAATAGGTTTGTTTCCCAACTGAGAAGACAGACAGAGATCAACACAGAATTGCATGCCATTGTAAATAAAAAAGTGTCTGCATGTATCTGTGCATATTCATATAACATATACAAATCCCGAAAGATAGATAGTTACATTCAGATTTTCTATTTTGGACAGAGACACGTCAAGAAAATATGACTTGAAGAAAGCAGCTTGGAAGACAAAACCCAAAATAATTACAATGACTGTTTAAAAAAAGCCCCATACATTTCCCCTAATAATCTGATAATAATTAAGGAGTGCAATTACAGTCTCTTTTAGTGATGGCATTTTCTCTTTCTCTTCATCCTCCCCCCCCCCCCTTTTGTCAGATCCCAAATTAAGGATAAAAAAGCATTAAATAAACATGATGAACAGGGCTTCTTTTAAAAATTATTTTGGAACTCCAAATTGCCTTTAGCTCTTCTGCACATATTATCATTCCTCCTCAATATTAAACAAATAGGAGCCCACATTAATTAAACAGGCGACTCCATTGTTTTCCTCGATGCCAAAGACTTCTGTTAAGTATTATCTACTTAAGAGAGAGAATTCAAAAGAGGACCTTTTAAAAAAAAGGTCTAAGAAAACCCCACTCTGAATTTGCAGGAGTGTGGAAGACGGTTTAAAAAACCAACATTAACCCATACTGCATTATGTACTTCTGTAATGATTACTCCATCCTCATTTCTTTTTCCCTGAAAGCGTTTGGCATATCGCACATCCCTGCAAACATTTTAACTGCCTCTTCTGAGACTGGGACTCTTCAAATCAATGAAGATGAGCTAGTCATAAACACTGTTAAAAACCTGACTGAAAGAGGAAGTTAAGAATTCACGTATCCCTGATTCCTTCCCCTTCTCCTTATTTTTCTTATCCAAACATTTTTTTTTCATGTCATTTTTTTATTGGCATGTATTTTCTTTCTCATCCTCTTACTTTCAAAGCTAACTGGAACAATATTTGCCTGTTGGTATCAAATGAACAGAAATATACGTAAGGTCAGGCACAGTAAATGAAGAATCCAGTTCTAGAGGAAAAATGCACTGAAAAGTTTCTAACGATCCACATTTTGAGACAAAAAAGAAGTTTTTAACATTCCTGATATTCTTTTGGCTCATAATTTGGGATTTTGTTTCACAGGCATCCTCTTTCTTGAATATTCACCAGTTTAGAGCAACTAGGCAAACTTTATGCATGCTATCAAGTAGTGGCAGAATCCTGAATCTGCTAATCAGCTGTCTTTCCATCCAGCATACTTCTCCAAAATTAAAAAGAAAAGGGGAAAAAAAAAACCCCTTCATTTCTGAGATGTAGAAGAGAATGGAACTGCCTCCACCACACTGCCTTCAAAACATGGGTGTCCTGAACTTGTAGTCCTGTTGATTAAAAGTGATCCTTCCTTTAGTTAATTAATTAAGCAATTAAACCAATATTCCAATTAAAGCATGCACACGGTCTGGTAAAATAATCCACGGGGGAAAACCTTACTAATGTAACCCAAGCCACTTTGTCATAGCATTCTTCATTGTTTTGTATCCATTTCTCCCACTGATATTATCTTTCCAAGGAATTTTTATTATTGTTTTTCATTCAGATGCAATTCCTGAGAAAGTTCTCCTTGCAGGAAAGGGGGCAAGGGATGCCAACTGCTCAGTCTGGAAAGAGTTATTTGGTTGGGAGAGTGAATGGTGGTGGGGGAGACTCCAGGAACTGGCCATTTTACTCATATGGACTTGAAATAACTTTTGAGCTTGATAAGGTTTAGTTCTGAGTAAACAGACATATGATTATAAACTTCATAATTAAAGACTAGCATTTTATGTTTCATAAATTCAAGAGTGGATTTGCCCCTCCTCCAATAATTTTTCTTCTTTTGTCAGTATCTTGTTTTCAAATCTGGATTTGCTTTAAACCTGTGAGAATAATTTGTATATTCTATTATTTAATTTTTCTTCTTCCCCTTCCTCTTCCTCCTCTTCTTCCTCTTCCTCTTCATCATCTTCTTCTTCCTCTTCCTCTTCCTCTTCTCCCTCCTTCCATTATAGCATACTGTGTATGTGTGGGGTTTGGGGCTATAATTTACACTTTGGGGAATCTACAGCCTTGCCTTGTGCTGCAAAAGACTTTGAGGCTGATGTCAACTTTATTTTTTAAAGTTGTTACAAAATTTTTTTACAGAATTTTTGCGTTGTTTCTTATGCTTGTTAGCCAATTGCTAATTCAAAGTTTTGAAGACAATCATTATTGAAATAAACCAAGGGGATTGAAAGCCATATTTGTCCTGGATATTACTTTTTCAAACAAAATTATATGTTACTCATACGCACTTCAGTAGCAACTGTAATAATGTTAGGAGAGGCGGGATTTTATGTTTTTATTTCATGTTTCTAAATTTTAAAAAAAACCTCTCTTGTTTTAAATATGATTTGAATTACGGATTTATAATTCTGTTGCCGTTGATGGCATGGTAGGAATTATTTCCTGAACACATAACCTCAAAAGCAAGATTTGTATTTTTAGGCAATTGTATAGTCTCTTATTTTACTAAAAAAAAACAACCTGATATTGGTAAGGTTAGTAAGAGGCTAACACTAGCTCTGCAAAATAATCAAAAATGTTTGTGGCAATTTTTGTTTCTAATTTGGGAGGGAGAGGGAGGGAGAAAAAAAAACGATTGTGTAAATCCAGAACATTGATTTAAACCACGGTTCAGCTGACTATTAGTTGTGCAAATCCAGCTAATGCTTTAATGTGGCAAGAACAAGGATTTTATCTTTTAACTTTCTGTTCATTTCCAGGCTGCATATAATCTCCCTTCTTTCTGAAACTTCCGCATTATAAATCATAGAAGACAAAGTACATTAATGCTTAAACATCACAGCAACCTCAGCAACAACAAAAGCAACAACACTAACAACAAAGCAGGCACAAAAACAAACAAGCAAACAAGCATAGGAGTAGCTCCAATCACAGGAGAAGAGAAGAATCATGATTTCTTCTCCTCTTCAAGGTTTTGGAAGTGCATCCAAAATAACATTCCTCCTTCTGGTCATCAACTGTCTTTGAAAAAAAGGTCCATCTGAAGAAGTATCAGGTTAAACCATTGTGAACGCCATTGCAACAGACTCAGTCTTCTGCATAGCCTATCCCAACAGGGGTTAGAGGCTTAAGAAGCAAAATATTCGTCATAATTATGATTCATATGTGCATGTAATGCTGAGATTCCATAAGTAGGATAAAGATTGGGCTCAAATGGATGACAAATGTAAAACAAGACATTCAAGTATATTCTTGGCCACCTCTGTACTAAAGCAACTAATCCAGGAGAGAAGCAACCTAGAACTAAGAAGAAATTTCTTGACAGTGAGAACAATTAACCAGTGGAACGCCTTGCCTCCAGAAGTTGTGGGTGCTCCATCACTGGAGGCTTTTAAGAAGAGACTGGACAGCCATTTATCCAGAATGGTATAGGGTCTCCTGCTCAAGCAGTGAAAGTTGGGCTAAAAGACTTCCAAGGTCCTTTCCAACTGTTATTCTGTTAAATCTCAAAACCCTGGACTCCATCACAAGGACTGCCCAGATTTTTTTTTTTATTTCTTTGGAAGACATTCCAGGAACAAATTTTTATCTCCTCTAATGGAGTGAGAACTGGGATTTTAAAATGCAAGATATTTAATTTGCCAGGATGTCATTGATTGGCCCTTGCTGCTGGCACTGAGTGGAGTCCCAACTTTTATGTGATCACTTTTTGTTTGAGCAAAGGATTCATACAATTTTTCTGTGCACAGGATAGACAAGACACGAGAACAGGAAGGACGTTCTGTCATCTGTTTACTGTATCAGGGATTTGACATTTTAACACCATCCTGAATGACCAAAATCCTGCACAGCTTTGTTGATGGTTCATCTTTTCCAACTTCACTTGTAGAGAAAGAGAAGGGGTCATATAACTGCTTTCCAATGATATTTTTGCTACAGTTTTCAGCAATCAAACCCTAATAGGATTCAGCGCAGCAATTCAATCTTCCATGCTGGTTTTCCCTAGCCCTTGTTGAGAATCACGAGAGTTGAAGTCCACACCTCCAGACAGTGTCAGCACTGGGAAGCTCACTCTAGGTCTAGGCCATTCTTCAACAACTCTTAGTTGAGCCTCTGAAAGATCAGTACACATGTCTAGTGTTAGTGATTCTGTTCTTCTGTCTGATCGATGGATGAATTGATCAAGTCTGTAATGCCACTGGCCTCCTCTCTTCTGAAGGAATGCACTTAAGTGTACAGGATCTGAATGCAAGGGGGCACCTACGGGGAAAATCCAAATAGTTAAACTGGCAGGAACAACTGTGCAGTGAAAGCTCTGATCCTTTAAATATGCATTGTCCAAACCCCTGCTCGAACAGGAGAACCTATACCAGGGGTCTTCAAACTTGGCTCTTTTATGATTTGTGGACTTCATCTCCCAGAATTCCTCAGCCAGGCACGTGACTTGAAGTCCACAAGTCATAAAAGGACCAAGTTTGAAGACTCCTGCCCTATACCATTCAAGATAAATGGTTATCCAAGTCTCTTTTTGAAAGCTTCCAATGATGGCGCACTCACAATGTCTGAGGGCAAGCTATTCCATTGATTGATTGCTCTCAACCATTGACCTATGGCCACAATTGAACCCCAGATTCCTGAAGCTAAGTGAGACAGTTGTTCAGTGAATGTTGCCCCATTTTATGACTTCCTTGCTTGTTAAGTGTCTAGTTGTTAAGCGAGTCACTGCTGTTCTTATGTTGGTAACACGGTTGTAAAGTGAACCTGGCTTTCCCATTGACTTTGTTTATCAGAAGGTTACAAATGGGGATCACTTGACCCTGGGACACTGCAATAAATGCATACCAGTTGCCAGGTGTCCACATTTTGATCATGTGACCACGGGAGAGGCTGCAATAGCCGTCAGCATAACAAATGATCATAAGTTCAGTGTTGCTGTAACTTTGAATGGTCACTAAACAAATGTTTTGTAAGTCAAGGATCACCTGTATGCCTTCAAATCAATGTCGACTTCTGGTGACTGTCTGGATTAGTTTTCTTGACAAAGTTTTTCAGAAGTAGTTTGCCATTGCCTCCTTCCCTGGGCTGTGAAAAAATGACTGGCCCAAGGTCACCCAGCTGGCCATTCCTAAAGCAAGACGAGAGCTCATGGTCTCCTAGTTTCCAGCCTTGTGTATTGACCAGCACACTACACTGGTTTTCTAACGTGCATTACGACTCATGTAAAAAGGAGGTGGGGTTTTAATCACATACTCATGATCACCATCTTGACTTTTCTGACCTCCCCAGGGAAGCCTTTGCATGTATAGGTGCCTCTGTTTGTACGAAAGAGAGAAAGAAAAAGGCCACAGCAGGTCTTGACCATCCAGAGGTAAAAACACTGAGATTTCCCTCCTTGCCGAAGAGGTTAAAAAGAAGAGAGGACTTATGGAAGATTATGGAGCATTACTTGCCTGGTTTATCTATTTCATTTCCACTTGGAAGGGTAAACAGCCGCAGCTGAGGACATAGGAATCTCAGATAGCAACCTCTCCATCTCTCTCTTCTCTCTCTTGAATTATGGAATACACGATGCTCTCTGGGCTTGTTGGTTTGCAGACATTTCATTACACAACCAGGTAATATCATCAGTGCCCATCACTTCATCATCAGGGCACTGATCTTACCTGGTTGAGTAATGAAATGTCTGCAAACAACAAGCGCAGAAGCACCAAGGACTCTGTCTGTCTGTCTGACTGTCTGCCTAGCTCTTTCTCTTTTCTATCTATCTATCTATCTATCTATCTATCTATCTATCTATCTATCTATCTATCTATCTATCTCTATCTATCTCTATCTATCTATCTATCTATCTATCTATCTATCTATCTATCCATCCATCCATCCATCCATCCATCCATCCATATTTCCTTCTTTTCAAGGCATTGCTTACTTTTATAATGTTTCTTCTCTTCTATTCCTTTAAAAAAAAAAAAAAACTATCTGCCTTTGTGCCTTCAGGGGCAGTGAAAGAAGACTGCCGATTCTAGATTGCTTTCAGAGTTTAGTTTACTGATGATGGATTACCATGTCAATTTAAACGGCATAGGATTAATTTGTTTCAATGATTTCTCTTTAGGCTGAATGCCAGGCCTTTTTTCTTCTTCTTCTTCTCTGTGCTTTCTATCTCTCTCCTAGCTCTTCAGAATAAGAATAAGAATGAAAGGAAAAAAAAATACCCTCTCCTCATCACCAAACTGCTTTTGATATCTCCTTTTTGAAAAGACCATAATAGGAAAAGACAAGTTCGGTGTAAAGTTGCAATGCAGGCTCAAATTGGAGTGTTTTTTTTTAGAATCTCATTTGCAAAGGCCGAAGTCTGCTGTCAGTCACATTAAAATGAAATTGGATCTAACATTTATTCAATAAATACTTCTCTTGTAGGTAATCCAGCACCAAGAGCTTTTGACACATAAGGACTTAATTTGTCTTGGATAAGAAGTTATTAATATGGCACATTTAAACTTGCCACCTACAATAAGGTCATTGAGATCTTTACATGATTTGGAGAATGGATTTGAGGGTGCTTGAAGGAAATATGAAGCAAAGTCTGAGATGGCATTCAGAGAGAAGAAGCAGGGTGGGAACACAGCAATTCATCGGATGGAAACGTTTTTCCCCCCTTGGGCTAAAAACCTGGACTTTAAAGCCTTATCTTAGATGAAATTCTTTAGACAAACCCTGGCTTGACACCTCAGTTATCCATCCACAAAGTGGGAAGAATTATTATAATTCGAATCATAAACATTATAATATTTAAACATTACACGTTTAAATATTATATAAAGATGTTGAGTGTAGAGAAGAGCAACTAAGGTCATTAAAGGCCTGGAGACTAAAACATGCAAAGAACATTTGCAGGATTTGGGTCTGGCTAGTTTTGAGAAAAGAAGGACTAAGGTGGACATGACAGCAGTGTTCCAATATTTGAAAGGCTGCCACAAAAAAAGAGAGGGTCAAGCTATGCCTCCAGAAATCATGGGCGCTCCATCACTGGAGATTTTTAAGAAGAGGCTAGACAGTCTGAGATGGTATAGGTTCTCCTACTTGAGCAGGGGGTTGGACTAGAAGACCTCCAAGGTCCCTTCCAACTCCTATTCTATTCTATTCTATTCTATTCTATTCTATTCTATTCTATTCATCCCATCCTTCTATTCTATTCTATTCTATTCTATTCTATTCTATTCTATTCTATTCTATTCTATTCTATTCTATTCTATTCTATTCTTCTCCAAAGCACTAGAAGGCAAGACAAGAAGCAATGGATGGAAACTAATCAAGGAGAGAAGTAACCTAGAACTAAGGAGGAACAGTGAGGACATTCAACCAGTGGGACAGCTGGCCTTCAGAAGTTTTGGGTACTCCATCACTGGAGGCTCCTAAGAGAAGAGACTAGACAATCACTTGTCTGAAACGATGTAAACTCTCCTGCTTTAGGAGTGGGTTGGACTAGAAGACCTCCAAGGTCCCTTCCAGCTCTATTCTGAATGTAAGAAATATGTCATTTTGTTTTGTTTTTTAGGGGGAGCCTGCCACCTTCCCTTTCCTTGTCCCGTATCCATGTTTAATGTTTATAAAATGTAGTGGGCAAATCCCCCAGCATACATTGTTCCCATTCAAGTCACTGCCATGGACTCACACATTCATATGGCAATGAAACCAGCCACTTAGAAATCAAGCTAAAGACCGCCGTGTAGGGTTGGGTGCTTTTGTGTACTCTGCAAAACTCTGTAGGCAGGAACGTGACGGAAGGGTGGTTTTAAAAGTTCAGGATTCATTTTGGGATTGCATTTGAAAAAAAAAAAACCATTCCTATAAGGGTGAACAAAAGTGTACATGGACAATTAGTTTTGTTCATTCATGAGCCACCCACACATCAGGAAAGAGACCTTTCGGGTCATACAAAGATGAGAACTCAGTAGAATAAAACTAGTTTGGAAATAGCAGAAAAAATGCTCAAACAGGAAAGAGAAATGCTCTCTAAAACCCTCAATATTCATGATCATGTGCTGTTCCCCACAGCCCTGTAAGATTAGCTAGTGTCTCGGGGGCTACTGTATGTTGGACAGAGGGGTTGAAGAAGCATAGACCTGCTTCAAAGATAAATTCCTGAATTCGTACTAGAGGTCAGACATGAAAAATACCTTATTTCACCATTCCATCTCACGCACAGTTGGAAGGTGGCCCCGCTGAGCTCCGTCAAGCTTATTCTTTGTAACTGCCTTCAGCAACACACTTCACCTGATTACTGAATTAACCTATTTGGGGGGTGGTGGTGATACACTGAACCGTAAACAAACCCAAAAGGCTGCATTTGATCAATGTCTAGGCTAATAAAGCTTGTAGATATATCTGCTAGGTTTGACATTGTCCGGTTAAGGGCATTTTGTGAACACGGTCATTAAAAGTATTGAAAGATGCAATATTACCGTAGGACAAAAGTAGCATTGAATTCATTGAAGGAAGGAAGGAAGGAAGGAAGGAAGGAAGGAAGGAAGGAAGATATAAAAATATGGTGATGAAATTAAGAATGGTTGAAGTTACTTTTTCTTTAAAAGCATTTCTAAATGTACAGGATCTTTTTAGGGATTTTTTGCGGTACAGAACAGTAATCTGGGATGGTTATTGAATAGTTGGTCTCCATTCATTAGGCAGGCCACTCAAAATTGATTCTCTTTTATCTTCTTCAACTTTTGAGTGCTTCCTTTGAAAATTCACTTGCATATAACCAATATTTATCCTTAAAATTGTTGATTTGTGTTTTTGTATATGTAATGGATATGGATTATTCTTCCCCTTGGATGGTCCAGAGATTGCTAATTACTGACCTCGAATAGAATGTGGGTCCAAAGGTAAAATATTAATTTGAGACTCCTCTTTTTTCCTTTTTTGCCTATGCATTTTTTTCCTTCTTTTTTCCATTGAAAGTCAATAGACCAATAAGCATTTTCCTTTTCAACTGATTTCTTGTTCTGCTTTGAGTAACTGATGAGCTAATTTTAGGTATATACTACTGAAAGCTATTGCTGATATGACCTTTGACTGGGTGAAATGAATGCACCATAGGGCTACAATTTTTGAACCAAGGTACTTCAAGTGGGCTAATGTACAGAATGTATCCAGAATTTGGGACCCACGACTGCTCCATAACTCTGGGGAAGTTGTGGCTGCTGCTGTAGTCATGTGTGCTTCATTTTCAGCATTTCATGACAGTTTCCCAGCCAGTCTTGCAATCCCTTCCTCTGTCTCTCATACAGTAGCAGACACTTACTTATCTGCCTCCTGGAAATGGAATGGAATGGAGGAAGGAAGGAAGGAAGGAAGGAAGGAAGGAAGGAAGGAAGGAAGGAAGGAAGGAAGGAAAATTACTTATGTTCCTGGCCAGCCAATAGGAAATTGGAAGTTGCTGCTTTTTTGCCCATCCATTGTCATTCTGATCCTCTGTTTAGATAAAGATGTATCTCTGAAATGTTGACTCAGTGGGTCGTGGGTTGTGTAGTTATTTCTAAATAGCAAAACACATTTTGGAAGAGTCCCATTCCAATTTAGGGTATATTTTCCCATTGCTTCCTCCTTAAAACTTAGATTATATGGTTAGGCATCAATGTTCTTCCCTTCTGTGAGTGTATTGTTTCTTACACCAGCCCTTGCAACATGTTGAAATCTGCCATTTTAATATTGTAATTTCTCAGAAACTTTCTTCCATGCGAAACAAACATCTGCATTTGTATTTTATTATCCAATAGGCTGAGAACTGGCTTTGGATTTATCTTGTTGATGTTTTGAATTGGTGTTGTGGTTGGAGGGATCAACGTGGGATGTATTCCCTTCTGCTTGAAGTCTCCTTTCACCTGAGACACCTATATAATTATACGCCAGTCCAAAATACCCTGTTTCTAGGAAAGATGTTTGAAAAGGTGATGACCTCACAGCTCCATATCCATCTGACTGATACTGGTTTTCTTGATCCGTTTCAATTAAGATTTGGGGTATTGTACAGAAAATGCCTTGAACAGTTAGAAATGGAGCTTAGAAATGAATGGATGGGGAAATGTGCTCCTACTGCTACTTCACCTAGAGTTTTTGGCACCTTCCTGTTCCTTTGTCCTTAGTAACTTTCTAGTCTGTCTAGCAGGATTGGACCTTGTACACTCTGTTTACAGAACTTCTGGACCTTCTTGCCAGAGAATTTTCCTGCAAGTCTGACGTTTGTCCATTCCTTCTCAATTTAATGTGTTGAGACAAAAGGGATGCTACTGAAACTCAGTCTTTTTATTGTAGGGATCCCGCAAGGTGGTTTTGATGGAAGTACTCAGTGATCAACACACCTACCTTCTGGAAGCAGGACAAAGAAGGACAGCTGAGAAACTTCTCATGATGATGGTGGAACATTGGCCATCTCCATAAAGAAAAAGGTATGGCTTGCAATTGCTTCCATGAATCAGGGCTAAATGTCACCTAGGATTAGGCAAGGGACATATGATTTCCACATATCCATTCCATTGACCCACACACAATGAGTTGCCTGCTACTGGGTGGTCCTTAAAAGACATTGCCATGTGGCATATAAAATAGACCTTTGAACTTTCCCATCTCCTTCTTTCTTGTGCACCTGTGAATGTCATTACTAGAGCATGAAATGCCACATACGTTCCAAACAGAAATAGCTAAGAAATGCAAAAAATACAAAAACAACAACCTCATCACTTGTGCAATTAAGAACATGATGAACACATTCCTATATCTGCAATTTATGGAATGGAGATACTGGAAAGAAAAAAATAATAATGGTGGGGAGAATGAAGACATCTGTGCATCTATTCATAATAGCTGATTGAGATATTATACTTGTTTCAATTTCTGAATGCAGGTAAGCAGCAAAAAATATGATCATGCATGCACAACTATAAGAATTGAACATAAAATTATTATTACTATATTTATTAAATTTATATGCTGCCCATCTCACTTTCAAGCGATTCTGGGTGACTTAAAAAGGTTGATGCTGCTTCACTTTCTCCCCATTATGTATTTTTTCCTTGTCTATGTTTGAATGATCATTAGAATAACAGAACAGAATAACAGAATAACAGAGTTAGAAGGTACGTTGGAGGTCATCTAGTCCAACCCCCTGCTCAGGCAGGAAACCCTATTCCATTCCAAACAAGTGGCTGTCCAGTCTCTTCTTAAAAACCTCCAGGGATGAAGTACCCACAACCTCTGGAGGCAAGCCATTCCATTGATTCATTGTTCTCACTGTCAGGAAGTTTCTCCTTAGTTTTCTAAGATCTGCAACCAATTGAAATTAGCCTTAAGCACTAGGGAGTCTGTGAATGTCCTGAAGTCCACATTGGATTTATAGTATGGTTAGTCAGCCGATTCCATGCAGTAAAAAGGATCTGTGCTAAGAGTTCATCAAATCAGTGAATGATTCAAAGATTCAAAGATGCCGAGTCTGATGCATTAAAACCGATTTGAGAATTTGATTACAAAGGATAACATTGTATTTCTGTTCTGCTAGACAAGTACTTCAGCTACTCATGACTGTATTAAAATTCCAAGCCATCCTTGGTACCACACACACACACACCCATTTGGCACCCATCTCCTTTGCCTGCTGCAAGCGATCCAAGAGTTAATCCATCTTTAAATATTACATAGAACTAATTTGACAGAGCAATATTTGTTCATGCTTTGGTAGCTAATATGTGATAGGGGACAGAGAGGGTCCCAGAAAAAATATCATGGTCCTTGGGTCTCAAATGGCATTTGACTGATGTGTGTTAAAAATGGATCAAGCTACAACTGAGCCCAAAATTTCTGTTGCTAAGCAAGACAGTTTGCCACATTTTATGACCATTTTTGCCACAGTGGTTTCATGGTGGAGAGGATGAGAATTACATGGCAAGGTCTGCTGAGCAAGACTGTTATTTTCTAAAGAGAGATTTCAGATCAAGCACTGCTAGCTTTCTTAAACTCATACCGCTTAGTCCAGCTCAACTTTTCCTATCACTCTTTGGCGCCTTCTAAATGTGCTAAACTACATATACTATCAGCCCAAGCCAGTGTATTGACTGGATCAGAATGATGGGAGATACAGTCCATCACATCTGAAGATTGCTAGTTTAGAGCAAGTTGACTAAACTAGGTGGGTTGCATCATATCACTCCCTAAAAAAGCACAACATTTCTCAACGTGCTTCGTTAGGGTAACACAAAGAAAGCATTTATCGCTCCACCGCTACTTAATACGGGTAAGTTGGGTATGGCAAGGGATAGAATCCCAAGCATTTAGGGGTGGCAGATTAGAGAAGGGCTGCCCTTTCAGAAAAAGTAATATTTTCCTTTTCAGGTTGGGTTAAAGAGAGTTATCCATGAGTGACAAAAGACTAAACGGACAGGGAGGATTAAAAAAACCTCCCCCCCCCCACCGTAAGGAAGTTCCCTCTTCCATCTTGTCTCCTTGTGCAATCTGAAATAAAGGCATCTCCCAGTCTCTGGCAACACTCAGAGTGTTTAGATGAAGGGCTGAGATGGAGACACCTATTGAAAAGTGTCTGAAGAAGATTAATAGGACTTGTCAGGGATGGGAAAGCTCTGGCTTTGCGGTAAATTTCTACCAAGAGAAGATGAATTACTGATGAATGCCGAGTTATCAACCCCATCACAATCATTCGACACTAAATCAAATTGAGCCGGTTATCTGCAATCAGAATTCCTCCTCCTCTTTTTTTTTCTTTTTTAAAAGGTAATGTGCATGTTTTGGCTTTAGTCTTTTTAAATCTATAAAAACATGGCATGCAACCAAGCTTTCCCTGCTTTAAGCATGAGCGAAAGGGGACTGCTTTGAAGCTGAGGACAGAATCATTCTTTCCCATGGCTTATTTTAAGCAGCAAAGGGATGGAAGCTAATCAAGGGAGAAAAAAAACAATGTAGAAATAGGGAGAAATTTCCTGACAATGAGAACAATTAGCCAGTGGAACAGCTTGTCTTTAGAAGCTGTGAAACCTCCAACACTGGAGGTTTTTAAGAAGAGATTGGACAGCCATTTGTCCGAAAGGGTATAGGGTTTCCTGCCTGAGCTGAGGGTTGGACTAGAAGACCTCCAAGGTCCCTTCCAACTCTGTCATCCTGTTATTCTGAAAGAGAGTCTCTAGGAGTTGACGCGCCATGGGCAAAACCATATTTGCCTCACTGCACAATGGTGAAAAATCTCTGCACATGTTCTGATGGCCTTTCCTTCTTTTTCAGAGAACTACGGTAGCTAAGAAAATGTTCTTTGGGAAAAGAGTAAAAATTCCCCAACACCAACCTTCAGTTTCTAGCCCAAATTTGTGGGAATGCAAGCTCATACATTGACTTGTCCATCAGCGCAGTAGATATCAAAAGGTATATAATTTTTAGCTCTGAAGGTTCTATTTAATTGACCTTGCCATTCATTCTTAATATGCCTAATCTCTGTTAACTTGTCTAAATGTCTTCTTAAAATAACTAAGCAAGTGACAATTAACCGGAAGAAAGAGTCATTTTCTCTGTCTTGTCTCTATTGCCAATTAATTTAAATCTAGACCAGGAGTGGGCAAACTGTACTCATGAGATGCTTTTGACTTCTTTTAGATACTTTGTTGAAATTTTGGAATTCCCTCTGCCTTGCTGAAAGGAATTACAAAATAAATCTGCAGAATAGAGGAGACAATCAGATCAGACCTCATCTGAACACATTGATTTGCAACCATTTGTGGATGCCTGTGTTTAAAAAGGCTATTGAAATCAGCAGAGGCTCCTGATCTAACTCAGCAAGTCAACTCAATCGGTGAATGTCTATGATTCAAATGGGCAATTCCATCAAATGGTCTTAAAAATAAACCTTCAGATGAAAGCCATTGCGAAGCGCTAGGGCTGGGTATTTGAAAAGAATAATAAGGTTATAAGCAAAAAAATTAACAAAGGAGAATGATCCACGATGGCATACATTTAAGAATTAATTTTGCATGATATTAGCTTCAGAAACACTGGAATTTCTGATTCTCTATTTCAACTTTTAACATGCAGAAAAGAGGAAAAGAGTGATCTAGCAGGGCACTGTAATCTAGATGTTGGACTAGAACTGGGGAAACCCATCTCAGTCTTGAAAGTTCATTGAGTGACTTTGAGAAAGAGTCTCTCTCTCTCTCTCTCTCTCTCTCTCTCTCTCTCTCACTTTTCTCCCTGATTGAAGGACTGGAGAAGTTGTGCCACTTTGATCCAGAAATAAAGAATCTTTCGCACACACAGCCATGTACAAATGGTGGCCAACCAGCTTTGATCAAGCGAGTCAACCAGCATCAACATTTCCATTCAAGGCAGAATTGTTTGCTTATAGTGCTTTGAATTTGCCTGTGGTGGATTCAAATTAGGCTTAATTGCAAGTGAGGCTGAGGCTGTATAATAGTGGAGGTAGTTTATTTAATTTCTTTTTAATAATAAAATAATCCATGTCGTTGATTTTATGTACTTTTAAGCATTCACATTTTTGCCCGTTGATTTTGAAAGTGTCCCCAAATAGATAAAGTTTGGCAGGTTGCCAGGCAAGAGGCAACTATAGTGGAAGGCAAGGAGGGGACAGTGACACAAGCTGCAATGCAACATTGCATCACAAACGCTGCACCTTTGGGTATGTGGTGTGACATTACACCTATGCAAAAAGGTTTAAAATATGTGTTGCAACAGCACATTTGTCATTTTATTAAAGTGTTTCTTTGTTATTTACCTGTGCTTTGCTTATTTTAGTACTTATGTTGCAATTGCCATTTGTTTCCCATCTCAACACGGCATGTTTTCAGCACTTACGGTTAAAGGGACCGCAAAGGCTGCAGAATGTGAATTTAGAAGCTACACACTGTCCTGTAGCTGCAGTTTTCCAGCTCTTGTGGTAGAACCTTGGACAGTCCAGAGCTTAACTAGATAAATTGGATGGCCTACTTGAATAGAGGCCAATTTCTTATGACCACAACATTATCCTTCAGATATCCTGGTTTCCCCCCCCCAGATGTTTGGATTAGATACAGTCCTTTCCCATTGTTTGCTATAACTGTAAGTTGAAATCTACAGCATCTGGAGGACACCAAGTGGCCTATCCTTGACTACTTCTAAACTTTCTTTAAAATGCTAAATTGGTGAATGCATTCATATTGAATCAAGATGTTGGGATCCAATGTTCAAAACAAACAACTAAATGCTTCAGGGACCAGGTCTAGCAAATGCATTGGAAATTGGCTAGCATTTCTCTAGACATCTGGTTGGTTTAATGCACCTAATAGCTTGACATTTGGCCCCGAATCTCTTCAGCTAAATGTATCCATCTGTACCTGGTTTGTTTTTCTTTGTTTATGGATGATCCTTCCAAACTATACCACATATTAGGACCTATAGTCAGAAGTCAATCCTCACCACTTTTGTGTGAGGGAATGAACTCACTGATAAGATTTTGTGTCCCCATAAAAGGGGACCCCAAATAATTTTGTTTTATAAAATTTATAGGCTGCCCATCTTGCCTCAAAGAATTGTCCCTTGATAGGATCAAGGAATACATCTGGAACAGGAATAACAATGCTTCATTCAGAATGTTGTCCTCCAAACTGCAGCAAAAGTCTAATTCAGAAGCACAACCTCAGAGAATTATGAATCGTGAGACACAATCCATAAACTCCATTTGGCTAGCATAATGCATCAGTCTGCATTTATCAGGGCTATGAGTAGATTTACATGCTCTAATGCTCCTCAATAAGAAAAAGCTGGGATCTTCTTTGTCCTTTCCTGTCCCAAGGAATCCCCCCCCCATATATTTGTCAGACACTGATGGGCCTTGCCTGAATTTAATCAGAGTCTGAAGGTAGGGGAGGAAAGGTGTATTATTAAAGAATGAAAATAATTTCAGAAGCAATCAATGGATCAGATGATTGATTCAGTGTGTCAATCAGCTACAATGCAAAACAGATTTCTTCTAATGAGGACTATTGAGATACAGACCTAGGCAGCTGTGTAGAACCACCAGTTGAAAATGTCAGAACAATATGATTAACTCAGAATGGAAGTGAAATAATGGAATAGTATTTCCCTCTTTCACCCTCTCCAACCAGAAATCACAGCAGAATTCACTGGCATGAAATTATGTTTTATCATTTAGCATGTGAAGGAAGTCATCAAAGAGTAGCTTATTCAATAAATCCTGGTTGAGTAGAAGTAGTCCTTAGTATGATATGCAAACCCAACCATTTTATATGTTTTGGGGTATATCAGGTTAGATTTATAGAACAAGAGCAAATATCTCTAAAATCTGCTATTTATAGGCAGGCATTCATTTATTTTCTGTGTACTTCCTCCCTCTCCAGATGCAACTTCAGTTCTCCAGGTATCATTGGACTATTTATTCCAGCATCATAAATCACCTCGGCTCTGGATCATAGTCTTTGTGGTCCAAAGAGCACCTGGGATTCACTGGTGTGAGATTCAAAGTATGTCACATGGTTTGCAAGGTTAGATATTCCTCTGGGTTATTTCTAGGTATAAGGAGACACTTTTTATTGTTCTTGTTGAGTTCATCAAGGATGGACAACGGGATGGAATTAGGAAATGTGAAAAACCAGGCTGTAGAATTTTATAATAAATAATACTAATAATAATAAAGTTGGAAGGGACCTTGGAAGTCATCTAGTCCAACCCCTTGCTCAGGCAGGAAACCCTATACCATTTCAGACAAATGGCTGTCCAGTCTCTTCTTAAAAACCTCCAGTGTTGGAGCATTCACTGCTTCTGGAGACCCTTTTTTATTGTTCTTGTTGAGCATCAAGATGAGACATCAGGTTGGAATTAGGAAATGTGAAAAACCAGGCTGTAGGATTTTAGACAGTGATGATTCTGTCAGAATTGAAGAAACTTCTTGGATGAGAAGCAAAGAAAAAAACCCCAAGAAGTCCAGTTGCCTTCTGGAAAAGCACCTTTGGGACAACTATGACCTGGATGATTGCGAATCTCCATAGACAATTCTATCACAACTGAGAATAAGATAAGCCCAATAACATTACTGAGAGTGATTAAAAAGAAATTCTCAAGCATTCCGAGAAGAGGATTGAAAAACAGAAGCTGTTTTTTTCAAGAAAAGAACACTTAAGAAAATCACAAGGCTGATTTTGGTAAACATTGATTGAATTCTATGGGTATATCACTTCTGCCTTAGCCCCGAATATATAAATGTATTGAAAACTATTTCCTTCAATATACAATGCAAGTTTCCATTCTGACCTTAAAGTAGGACATCCGGAGTCCTATTCAGGATCGCATTTCTAAGTATGAAAGTAAAATCTTGACTTTATGATTTTTTTCCCCCAGTTTGGAGACCTGAGCTGTCCAACTTCTGATTGCCTGAAGAATTATAATCATCTTCAGCCAAAGTACAGTAGGTTGTGTTCAAATCTCTATTAACAAGGGTGGTGAAGAAGTGATGGCGGTCTTCATTCCAAAATCAAGGTCCTGAGATTTTCAAAGAGTTTATTTATTTATTAAATGTCTTTGTTTATGAAAACATATAGGTTTTTTTTAATTGAACCAGGCTTTAAGAACTGTTGCTATATGAATAGCTTAGCTCAGACCACAGTTTCAAATGCATACAAACCTTTGAAGAAGCCATGGCACAAGGAACCACAATCATACATATTGCTAACCCCTGTTACTACAATGAGGGATCACAAAGTGTATGAAGTCATAACTGGGAACCCATATTGCTTAAGATCTTCTAAATCAAAACTAATGTTTTATTCATTTATTCCATTTCTCTCATGCCTCTCTTCCAGGAGAAAAACATGATGCATGTAGTATTCCTTTCTCTTCTTTTAAGCTGAGAATAATAAATAAAGCGTGTGAACAAAGTTGGGTTGAAAGATAGTGAGATGCCTCCAGACATTCAGCAGGCTTCCTTGGTGAGGGGATGGAATCCCCAACTCTCATGGGTAGGAGCGTGCATCTCTCTTGAAGCAGTTTTATATATGAAAGGAAAGCTGCGTTCACACTATGCACATTGCTTATAATATAACTCACTTTCTTGTCCATCATCCAGTTTCAGCAGATTAGCATAAAATGCCCCAAGAAAGGCTCAACAATGGCTCTTTGCATCTTAGGTGAAAATGCACATGGCCCTCTCATGTTTCCTTTTATCAGCCAGATCCCTGCTAGGATAATATGGAAGACTTAGCCCATGGAGATCTACATGGCATTAATACACAAAGTAACTAAGAATGCTGATCCCTGTAGTGGGCTTTTTCCAAGCTTTGGATGGGGGGAGTAAAAATCTACCTGAAAACAAGGCACAACATAGGATACAGCTCAACTGGTGAGGTCCAAAATGTACTGAAGGTTTTTCTGGGGTTCACTTCGTCAAAGACCTGTTAGTTGCTTATTTTGCAGCCTTTTAATTGACTGAACATGCTGAAATAAAGTTGCACATTTCTAAAATGTTTGTGTGAGATGTTTTTTATGGGATTTTGATGACCATTTTAAAAGAGCAATCCTATATGTGTATATCTACTTAAAAAAATCTAATTGCTTTTAGTAAGCGCATAGTGGATAGAAAGGAAAAGAACTATACACTGTATACATGGTGTACATAAATATAAATAGTGGTAGTTTATAAAGATTATTAAGTGCAAGTAGAAATACGTATTATTTCAAAAGCAAGGAAGATAAAGCAGTAATGATTAAATTGGTTGTTCTATTTAAAGCGGAGAATATATGTTTTTAATTTGGATATCACTTCTGGATTTTGTGCTGGGGATGAAAAAAAATGAAACCTCTCAGCTTATGACCACATGTCCATTCCTAAGCAAGGCAGATGTTAAATGAGTTATGCTGGTTTTATGATTGTTATTTTTCGAGGTGATTGTTATTGAATCTCTGCAGTTAAATGAATTATGCAATTGTTAACTGATTCTGGCTTTTCCATTGACTTTGTTGGAAGCTGGCTACTAAATGCGTCCGTCTGCTGACAAGGGGGTGAGGCTTATATTATGAGTGTCCTGAAAAAATCATGCTAGGGTTTATTTTCCGATTGGCTCTTATTTTCAAGGAAACACAGTACATGCTGGTTGCCCAGTGCCCAAATTTTGATCACATGATCCTGGGAACGCTGCAACAGTTGTAAGTATGAGGACTAGTTTTAAGACACCTTTTTCAGTGCCCTTGTAACTTCAAATGGTTACTGAATGAAAGGCTGTAATTTGGGGATGACCTGTATATACAAGCAATACATTGCTGTTACAGTATGGATTACTTTGCTTCTCCAATCCGCCTCCTATCTTCTGAACGTTGATTGAAGAAATGCACAATCTATTTACAAATCTCAGTTTGCCAGTCTTTTATCTCAGCTAGTTTTGTCTAGGGGTCAGCCAATCCTGTCTCCCTGCCCCCCCCCCTTCACCAGATACTTATTTGCAGTTTACATTTTTAAGACACCGTCTTTAAATCAACGCATATGCACCCTTAAATTATATGTAATAGGTCTTAGTAAGAGGCTCTGAGTTAAAGCAGTATGTAATAAAAACATGCATATACACAAACACACACTTAAGCAAAACATCCAGGAAAAAAAACAAACCAGATTGTGCATTTTCTGATCTGTTTCACCCATTCACAGCTGAGTTGCCAATGAGAATCTAAGATTTGTTCAAAGCTGAACAAATCATGGGTGCTCGCCAGAACAAGTTTTTCTTTGTTATGGAGGATATAAGCATTATTTGCTATAGCTTTTTTTTAATATATACATTTTAAATTAGGGTTGTGAAAGCAAAGCTTCATCTTTAATTCATCACTCTCAGCTGAAAGAAATCAGCCATGTCTCGCACGCAGCCCCTCGTATGGTGCTGACTTCATCAAGTATGGTCTGAAATTAATTAGCCTCATTCATTCCAACTGGAGGTTAAAAAAAAAAGAGAAAAAGAGAAAGAAGAAGATCATGAAGAAAGGAGCTGTGTTTTTAAAGATGATCATTGAAAACTTCAAACGATATTTCTCCAAATATTCTGGGTTCCTTCTCTATTTTAAAACGCTCTAGGTTGAATTTTCCCTACTTTTGGACCTGTTCTGTCAAAATTAGCAACAAATCAAACCTTGGAAAGAAGGATATATCTATACATTTTTTCAGAGGCAGTGAACATATTTGTCAACATATAAAAATGAGACAAAGAACAAAGAACACAAAGCCATAAAGAGGAATGGTAACAGGGTGGGTTAAAGACTAAATTTCTGGGAAGTTGAACATGTGGCAATCTAAACCTACAGGAACTGAAACATCTGGGGCTGCAATGAGAGAGGAATATAAAGAAAGTTGCAAGGAATGCTAACTCAGAGCTCTTTTTATTGATTTAACGGTCTGGTCTAAAATAACAGAATAATAGAGCTGGAAGGGATCTTGGAGGTCATCTAGTCCAAGCCCCTAGTGAAGGCAGGAGACCTTAGACCAGTGATGGCAAACCTTTTAGAGACCGAGTGCCCAAACTGCAACCCCAAACCCACTTATGTATCGTTGGGTGCTGGGTGGGCGTGGCCCATTGGGTGGGCATGGCTTCAGTGCTAACGGCAGACTGGGTGGGACTAAAAAATTCGATCAATTCCAACTTTGCGAGATCTTTTTTTCCCGCGAGAACTTGAAATTGATTGATTGAAACTTTTTTTTATTTTGCACATAGCGACGGAGGCCTAAAGCGAAAAGGTTTTATAAAACCCAGCTGAAGGCCTAGGATTGTGGCGACAATGCGCATGCCCACAGAGAAGGCTCTGCATGCCATAGGTTTCCCACCACGGCCTTATACCATTGCAGACAAATGGTTGTCCAGTCTCTTCTTAAAAACCTCCAGTGATGGAACATCTACAATTTCTGAAGGCAAGCCTTAAAAATGTTTACTGGAATGGACTGCACTGTTTTTGAAAGGTGATGTTTTAGAATGGGTTAAACCATTTATTGTTATTGTTGTTATTACCACCCCCAAGGTCCATTCCAGATCTATGTTCTAAGTAATGAAATATCTCTGAACAATGACTGAACTCTGATATTCTGTTAATACTATCCAGGAATCGGAAAAGTAATGTTGACTTGTAAATGCAAGAAAGACAGCTTCTGCATCAATTGATGGCTGTGCAATAATCAAAAAAATGTATATGATGATATTACCAATGGGCCTTAATTTTCTTTTAAATTTATAAAATGCTCTGATTCCTCCACCTTGCTCCATTTTTTGTTTCTTTTTTTGCCAATTTTATTGATGATTATGATGAGAACAAGAAACACCTACAATAGTTCTTTTGAAATAAATCAGTCAGAAAGGGAAACTATCTCTGCTATTTTTTTTGTTTAATTACCCAGGTATCCTAATTGAACCCCAATTATTAAGTTGCCAATGACTACTTAACAGCAACTCAAGATTGACAAAAGCAATGTTGCCAGAAGGATGACAAAGAATAGCTGGAAGAAAACTATTCCAATGACTTAGTATTTGGAGGGCAAGAACCAGCTTGTACAAATATTAGCTAGGAAACACAGCTCTTTTATTCAGTTAGAGCCCCCCCTTTTTTAAAAAAGTTTTTCCGGTTCTGGAAAAGTTTGTTTGCCAGTCAAGTCAAACACCTAATTAATGCTATGAATTGGGATGAGGTGTTTCATTTTGTTTCGGTTCCTTTTTAAAAACCCGTTAAACCTGCAACCATCCTGACTTTTCCATTGTATTCCGTTCTATGGAATGGGAACTTCTGTTGAAATCTTCTCCAGGGTTCTTTTATAGGGGGGGGGGGAAGTGCTTCTGGTTGTGAATGTTTTCCTTAAAAATGAAAACGAGGCCTGCCTTAATAGTATGGTAGAGTGGACATGCTATTAAATGGGGTGACATGAGAGCAGTGTCCCAATATCTCAGGGGGTGCCCCAAAGAAGAGGGAGTCAAGCTATTTACAGTGAGAACAATTAACCCATGGAACAACCTGCCTCCAGAAGCGGTGAATGCGCAACACTGGAAGTTTTGAAGAAGAGATTGGACAACCATTTGTCTGAAATGGTACAGGATTTCCTGCCTGAGCAGGGGGTTGGACTAGAGGACCTCCAAGGTGCCCTCCAACTTTATTATTATTATTATTATTATTATTATTATTATTAATAATAATAATAATAATTCATTAAGCTGGGTTGATGACATCAGCGTGTGGTGTGCCCAATTGGCAAAAGAAAACTCAGGACCTTATGGGTTGGGAAACATGCTGAAGAGGCCCTCATCCCGCAGTGGATAGACAATGGCTAGAACGATGATGATGGTGGTGGTGACAACAATTATTGCAGCAGGTGACAGTGGCCAAACATAGAAAGAAGGGAAAGGAGAATGGGAAAGGGAAATATCTTATCTTCTTTCATAAATTTAGAACTGAGAAGAAATTTCCCGACAGTGAGAACAATTAACCAATGGAACGACTTGCCTCCAGAAGCGGTGGCTGCTCCATCACTGGAGGTTTTCAAGAAGAGATTGGACAACCATCTGTCTGAAATGGTATAGGGTCTCCTGCTTGAGCAGGGGGTTGGATTAGAAGACCCCCAAGGTCCCTTCCAACCCTGTCATTCTATGTTCTATATCTATTCCAAGAATCTAGTCCACACAAGGCAAAAGGAGAAGGCGGCAGCAGAGGATGAGATGGTTGGATAGTGTCATCAACACAGCGGGCATGAGTTTGGGCAGATCCAACAGACAATGGAGGATAGGAGGTCTGGCATGCTATGGGCCATGGGGTCACAAAGAGTTGAACATGATTTAGCGACTGAACAACAACAAACTAGGATGTTATTTATTTCTTTATTTATTCTTAGATTTCTCTCCTGCTTTTCCTCTGGGATTTCAAGGTGGCTTGTGTTCAGATCCCTCTCTTTTTCATCCCTGTCCCAGGAGCCCTGTGCGGGCACAGTGGTTAGAATGCAGCATTGCAGGCAAGCTCTGCCCACAGCCAGTAGTTTGATCCTGATCCGGCTCAAGGTTGACTCACCCTTCCATCCTTCCGAGGTCGGCAAAATGAGGACCCAGATTGTTGGGGGCAAGAGGCGGACTCTGCAAACCGCTTAGAGAGGGCTGTGAAGTCCTGTGAAGCGGTATATAAGTCTAAGTGCTAAGTGCTGTAGCAATCCTTCTGTGTGAGGTGCTTAAGCCATGTATCCAAAGAAGGACAAAACTGAGATCAAGCTATTTCACTATCCCTTCAAAATCATGGGTGTGTGTGTTTGTGTGTGAGCTTTGAGCACATATTCTCATAAGAACATATTTCCCTTGGAGGCTCATGGTTTGATTACACCATAAAATCCCGCTGAAGATTAGCAATGGTATTGCTAGTCTGACTTACTTTTATTTTTAAATGTTTTATTGCATAAAGCTAGTGGCCAAACAAAGAAAAGAAAAAAAATATGTGTGTTTTTGTGTGTGTTTGTGTGTGTGTGT